CTCTGGAGTGCATACACTACAGGAAATTTACCCACCAGAGTGATGTTTGGAGCTATGGTAAATCTTAATCTGATTAGTTTAAAAATTCGTGTCTTTCAAGGCATTAAACCAAGTCCTAGAATCATAGAATCGACTGGGTTGGAAAAGACCTCCAAGATCATCGAGTCCAACCCTACTGTGGTTACTAGACCATGGTACGAAGTGCCACATCCAGTCTCATCTTGAAAATTTCCAGGGATGGTGAATCCACCACCAACTTGGGCAGCCCATTCCAATGCCTGATTACTCTCTCCATAAAAAAACCTCTTCCTAATATCTAACCTAAACCTCCCCTGGCATAGCTTGAGTCTGTGCCCCTTGTCCTACTGCTAGCTGCCTGGGAGAAGAGACCAACCCCCACCTGACTCCAACCTCCTTTCAGGTAGTTGCAGAGGATGATCAGGTCACCCCTGAGCCTCCTCTTCTCCAGGCTGAACACCCCCAGCTCCCTCAGCCACTCCTCATAGCACTTGTGCTCAAGTCCCTTCACCAGCCTCACTGTATCCTCTTTTCTTAAAGGAGTTCATTCCAGTGAGGTTTGCTTTTTTTTGTTCTTTCTTAAAATGGGTAACTCTAAGCAGCAATTGTTACTGTCTCCTGTGTTCCTTCCCTGCTCACTAAAATGTATTATCATGTTCCCCCCTGCTGGGATGACTGCTGTAAGGTCTGGCCTGGTAGCAGTTTGGCTGATTATTACGACAGAAGAAGAAGGCCTCTTTCAGCTTAGCCACAGATTCATAAAAATACAGCTGCAGGTCATAATTTTCAGCAGTCTTTGAAAATCTCAACTCTAAAAGCCATGAATGTCAAAAAACATTTTCAGGCTTATGGGAATTTCTGTACCTACAGTCAGATAAAAGGGAATTTGTCATAATATGGAGCAAATATGGCAAGGGAAAGAAAAGGAAGAGACAAGCTCTCCAAACTAACTAGATCAAGCATCCATTTAATTTCACAGATAACTTGGGAATTGTTGAGCTACACACATAAAGAGGAAAAGTCATATTTGAGAAATGAGATGTTCATTTAGTGTGGCTAATTGTTATCCAGACTAGCTGTTGTGCCACATCTGCTGAGCTGTCTGCCTGTTTATCTAGTATAGCTCTTACTAATAAGATCATGTATAGCTTTGTAAATGGAAATTTTCAGCAGTATCTAGAGCCATCTAGTCCTATTTGCATTTCCTGTTGCCATATCTTTTTGAACCAGAAGGGTGTACAATTCTATTCATTACTCATTTTTACCTGTGGGTAGCAGCAAAAGACACTGTTTGCTGTGCCTGGTTAGCTGCCCTCTTCCTGTCAGCTGAGAAAAACCTGAAAGAGTTAAACTGGTCTTGTAAAGTTGCTCTCTCTCTTCAAATTCTGTATATCCCGTATCACTTAGGAAAACATATGCCTTCATTTATGAAATTCATTTTAAATGCAGAAAGCCCAGAACATCTATAATCAGAAAGGACAAGACCATAAACAATTGACAAGTTACAGTTATTGAATATCAACAAAGAGGTGAATGAAGATGAAACAAATGTGTGTTTTATTCATATGGTAATTTTGCCCATCGCCTTTCACATTAGCATGACAGCTGGCAAAATATGGTACTGACCTGGAGGCATGTTTAAAATGAACTTTGCAATACAAATAAAAGTTGCAGAAACTGATGTGAGAGCAGCATTTTCAATATTTAAGATTTTGTTTGGGGACCAATTCTGTTATTTATGATATATGATCTTTATTTCTAGCTCCAAAGCCAAAACAAATCCTATGGCTTTTCATGAAGTGAATCTTGGGTTTGCAGCACAGCACTATCATAAACTCAAATCCATAAGGTGATTTAAGGAAAAAATAATGCAAGTGGCTGTGAATGACTTACAAGGCAAAGACAATGACATAATGTTACTCAGTGCTGTACCTTTGTGGGAAATTGATGCTCTAAGTTAGGGAACATCTGAGCTTTTCCCCCATAAAATAATAGAGTACATCAGCCATTCATTTCCCATTTTGATATGATTAAAGAGCATGATGCATTCTGTTGTTATTGCATCCATTTACTTTACCACCATTCATTTGTCTCAGGCCTTTCTCTTGTGCCTCAGATCTATTATGCTGCTTCTTACACCAATAAAAATGAGGGAAGTTACTTTTGAAGATTAACACAAAGTGCTGTTTCACCATTTTTTTGAGTTTTTAAAGTGGCAGACTGTCATGGTTTAAGCCCAGCTGGCAATTAGGCACCACGTATCTGATCACTCAACCCTCCCTCTCCCCCCAGACCAAACTTCAGTGTTTTTACAGGCACTGGTAAAGAAGAAGAGATTGCAGTCCAGAACTAGGCCAGAATACTGTGCTGTATGAAATTGTGAGGGAGTCTGAGTAGCACGACCTCAAATATTGACACTCTTTTCTTCTGTCTAGGAGTCACTATCTGGGAGCTTATGACCTTTGGTGGGAAGCCGTACGATGGAATCCCAACTCGAGAGATCCCTGACCTCCTGGAGAAGGGAGAGCGGTTGCCTCAGCCTCCAATCTGCACTATTGATGTTTATATGGTGATGGTGAAGTGTAAGTAGTTATAGAATTTTAGGGGTTTGAATGGACCTTTCAGATCATCTAGCCACAACCCCCTCCCTGTCCTGGGCAGGGACACCTCCCACCAGAGCAGGTTGCTCAAGACTTCATCCAACCTGGACTTGAACACTGCCAGGGTTGGGGCAGCCACAGCCTCCCTGGGAAACCTGTACCAGTGTCTCACCACTCTCACAGGAAAAAAACGTTTCCCTAATATCTAGCCTAAATTTCCTGTCCTTCAATTTGAGCCCATTACCCCTTGTCCTATCATTGCAGCTCCTAACAAAGAGTCCCTCCCCAGTTTCCTTGTAGCCCCTTCAGATATTGGAAGGCTGCTATGAGGTCTCCACGTAACCTTCTCTTCTCCAGGCTGAACAGCCCCAACTTCCTCAGCCTGTCTTCATAGGGAAGATGCTTCAACCTTCTTATCACCTTTGTAATTGTCATGCTCAGTGCAAGAGGGACATTGGTTTAGAGCATTTGCATCTGTAGTCTGTGGCCGTGCTGGGGAATAGCACAGGCTGCTTCAAAACAAAAGCTTCCCAAGACACTGTAAATTCCATTTACATACTGTATGCACAGCGTTTGCAATTGCAGAAGATATGAATTTAGCCATGAAGGGCCGAGTTAGCTCAGCTTCTTATTACTGTCAGATGGTATCTCATATTCTTGCTGTGAAGTCAAAATTGTATGATTGTTATTGTAAACCCTTGTCATTTCCATGACAATTGATTTTGATGTTAAAAAAGATAGTATTAAACGTAATTATGGTACATGGATACCCAGCCAGTGAAGACTGTGAAGGGAAATGCTGGTTCCAAATACTGAGGAAAGAAATTCTGAATGTTTTGCTAGTAACAAGAATAATGATTGCAATAGTAATAATAAAAAGCAAAATTAATAGAAAAATGCTGCAGAGAGGATTATTTTTTAGCATTCTTAGTCCAGTAAAAAACTTTATGAATATTTTTAGTTTAGCAAAAAAGAAAAGCAGTCTGCACATGGTTTCTTCCTGCTCTTTTATCTCCAAGATTCCCCCACTAGTGACAGTATCCTCCAAGGTTATGCTTCTAATTTAAAAAGAATTAGAAACAGCTCTCTGATGTTTCTGGCTTAATTTAAGTGAGATTAACATACTGACATGTCATCCATCTTATATACTCCTTTCCCTTTTGCTTTGTACACAAAAGCACTAAAAACCAGCAAATAAAACTAGAAGAGGTAAATAGAGTATCTTCTGAAAACAGCTGTGCTGTGCATGCAGGTCTGGAAATTATCTGAACTGTCCAAGAGGTTTGTGTTGATTGAATGCAAAAATGTCCCATCTGGTAGGATTTCTATTGAGTATGGGGTGAATCTCAGTGGACAAAAGGAAGTCCTCGGAGATATGATATTCTGGAAGATAGAAGGTTACAGCTAGACACACAGACTTAGCTCTATGTTTGTGTGAAATTATTTGCAAGTTTAAGTGACTTTGTTTTTCCTGCCTTGGTCACTCCTTCAGTTAAATGACACTTAGGAGATAAGGCCTCTTCCATTAGCCTCCCTGGAAAATGAGAACGTGTTCTTGGGATGCTGCTGATAGGATCTTCCATTAGAAAAAGCTGACACTGAGAGAAACTAGTTGCTGTTGGTGACTTCTTATACTACCTGCTTGTTTTGCAGAAAGTATTAGTGGGGATTGGGAATTGTTCCTAATGAATGTTTCTTGGAGAATAAAGGACAAAGGAATCACTCTTACTCCACTAAAATAGCATCCAATGCCTTGTGTGAGGTCTGTGCTAATGATGCAGACAGGTGAATGCAGAATTGCCTGAAAGGCTGATGTGAGGTCAGTCATCCTGTAGATCTGTTGAACAAGTCTTTTTAATCTGAGTCATTGTGGGACAGTACATCAGTCAAGGTAAAATTCTGTTTAGTAGTAACTTTGTAATAAACCCTCTAGACTGGGATGAGATCAGATTCATTGTATTAGAGGTTGGACACATCCTTAATAAAAGACAGTCAGTGCTGACATCTAAATGGGCAACATAGAGATATTTGCAAGGCATTGTTGCTGACTCTGTTTTTGGGGCTGGGGAACAGGAGCTCAGCAAATTAAGAAAAATCCATGCAGTAAGGAACAATATAGTCTTCCTTGGCCAAGACCAGCTGCTTTCCATTTTATGCATCATAGAATTCTTACTTTCCATTCTTCTAGGGTCTTTATTGCAACTTTTCTAAGACCACAGCTATCAAGGGCTTCAAACTTGTGTATTTTTAAACTGCATTATTTCTTGACAGTTAACTGTTTTCTTTCTCATCTTTCATCTGTCCGCAGGCTGGATGATTGATGCTGATAGTCGGCCAAAATTCAAGGAGCTGGCTGCTGAATTCTCTAGAATGGCTCGAGACCCTCAGAGATACCTAGTGATTCAGGTAAGCAACCCTGCAACATCGGAGTTCTGTCTGTGAAACCTGACTGTTACAGGGATTGCCTTTGAATGTCTGAAGTTCAAGGTGCTCTTTAACTTAAAGCAAACAGTGACCACAGTATCAATCAAAATGGCCAGGGTCATTGTCTCAAAAATAATAATACCAATAATTCATTAATCTGAAATTCACTTCCTAAGCTTGTATTTATGAGCACATACACAAGATCTGGCTTTGACGCCGCTCAGGACTTTGTATTCTCTCATGAAACTGGGGACAATTTATGTCCATTAGTGGACAGTTAGACCAAGGACTTGCTTGATTCTACAGCTGATTAGGCTGAATCTTGGGGGATTATCCTGAAGAGACACTTCCCTGCACTGCTGAGAGCACAAGGTTTCTTTTCATAGCCTAAACACAAAGGTTTCTCAGAAGATAAGGAGTTGTGTCGCATTGGTACATCTTATACTAGAGAAGAGCATCTCTCTCTGTTCTCCATAGGCTGTGTAAGCTCTGGAGGCTTCACATCACTGTGCCAGAGCCACACCAGTACTGTTCACCACATGAAACTGCACTGTGGCAGCAGAGCAATGCCAATCTGTTGCCTACATCTAGCTGGAGCAGTGTGTGCCTGAGTACAGGCCCATGTCCTACATTCTGTGGAAGCCTAGAGTTGTGCAGGTATATACTACAGCTCATACTCAAGCCACAGAAAATGTATCTGACTAATTGCTAAGGTCCTTAGTGGTCCCAGTGTGTGAGCAGTTCAAATGAAAATTGAGATCTTAAAAGAAGTAAGATGACTGTGAAGCACCAGAGACCAGAGCACAGAAATAGTTTGAATCAGGTAGTGATACTCTCGTGCTGCATCTCATGCTGTATCTGCTCCACATCATGGAGTATGGGACAAAGGTACATCCAGCTGGTCCTCAGCTTCATGCTGATGTAAGAATTCCTAGTGGAAGAGCCTCAAGAAGTACAGTCACTGCCACTTTTTGTCTCCAAATTACCTCTGGGTCTAGTGCCAGTCTTGCCGTATGGTGTTTCATTTCACTGTGTAGACATGCTAGACACCTCGTGGTGTATTACTGCACAGTATGAGTGCATGCTGCTCTCCTTCAGCTTCAGGTGAAGTAAAATATAGTTGAAAAGTAAAATACTAGTTAAGAAGACTTTTGGTGCTGAATGTGGAAATTCTCTTGCATTATTCTCCACTGTGATAAATCGTAAGTTCAGCTGACACAAGTGATTCTGGAAAAATCAGTCTGATTAAATTACTTTGTTAGATAGGACATGTTTCCTTATTCCAAATACCTCTTCCCTCCGCTTCCCCTCTGGCCCTTCTTTCCCCTGTTGCATAGTCTGATGGGTGTTTCATCCTGTGAGGCTTCTCTCCAGTGCTCCTTGCAGACAATACAGGTTATGAGCTTCTGAAGGAGAAACCAGGGTAACTCCATTGCATTGATCTCTCTGCCATCATGACTACCCATTCCCCCCAGATGCAACCAAGACTGACAATGATTGCTGTTGAGTTTTTAAGTTAGTCTGTATGCACCCTACAGCACATCCATCATTCCCTGATGGATTCCACACGTGGCATAATAATTCTTGAGGAGTAGAGGGCCATTCTTTAGCCATGCAGTGAAGTTCAGCATATGTTCTATGAGCTGTTAGGTGTTTGAGGCAAGCACTGCCTTTTGTGATGTTTTGTGGCACCAAGCAAAGTGCAGCCCAGATTTGTCTGTCCAGCTTGTAGTAGGTATTTGAGTACAAACACATATCACTGTTGTTCTGTGATTTGATTTTTATTGTTTTCAGCTCTGTTACATTCTGCAGAGCTCTTCATATGGACAGGAGGGAAATTTACCCTCTGAGTTCCTAAAAATACAAATTAAAATAAGGCAGATAGTCATACACAACAGTTTCCATGCTATCCCCCTATTCCTCCTATTTGAGCCTAAATAGCTGAGATATTTCACAAGATATGTCAGAACTTGGGTTAGAAACTGAGCTTGTATGGGAAAAAGAGAGAAGAAAGAATAAAAGCTCAATCACAGGA